CTAATCCCTAATCCTTAAACCCTAAGCCATTCCGAGGACTTCTTGGACCTTGCCCAAAGGACTCCACTAACAGGAAACCCTAAACCCAGAGGCCTAAACCTCCGCACACCCGAGCCCGTCAAAACCCAGACCCTCACTTTGCTCTCCTATTCGCTGGGGATCCAAATAGCCCAATGTAGGTAATATTTATAGACTTTGGGGCCCAATGTAGGTATTATTTGTATACTTGGATCCCTAGGGATTGGGAGAACCGCAATCGGAGAGTATGCTTATGATTGGGTTGCGGCTCCTGGGCTTGGGTCAAGAAAGTTGATACTGAGCCCCCCTCACCCCCCGGGATTTGTCTATCTTTAATTGTGGAGTAGGGGACCTTAAATCCTAAACCCTAAGTTCCCTGAACCCCAGGTAGAAATTAGAAGTTAAACCCGAAGCCCTGAAGTCTTTCAAGCGGCGCTAATCCGGCAGCACGCTCCCAAACCTCCAGGGTTAAGGGCTCAGGGCTGACCTCTATTTAGAGTTTAGGGTTTAGAGTTTAGGATTTAGGGTTTAGAGTTTAGGATTTGGAGTTTATGGATCTGTTTTTGTTGAGGGCTATGTCGGTTTGGGAGGAGTTTGAGGGACCTGGATCCTGCAGGGCTACGGAACTACAAATCGCATGCGCTTGGCAGCGCAGCAAAGCACAGACCCCTTAAAAAGGAATCTAAAAGTTCGATCCTCTCGAGGATTAACTATGAGAACCCTAAACCCTAAACCCTAAACCCCTAAACCCTAAACCCTAAACGAAATATTTTTTAATGGTCCGTACTCGGTAAGTATGGACATGGTTCCAGGTATTACAACAACCAGAAGAACATGCGTCATGTAAGGCTAATTTATGGATATCCGCAAAGTTTGGGGTGGCCCCGAACCATTCCCTACCCTAAACCCCAAACCCTGAGTCCCAATCCCCAAACCTTAATCTCAATCCCCCAACTCTACGCCCCAAGCCCTTAAACTCTAAACCCCAAACCCTATACCCCAAGACTCAAGCCCCAAATCCTAAACCCTAAACCCTATACCCGAGACTTATACCCCAAAGCCTAGACACTATACCCCAAGACTTAAACCCCCCAACCCTAAACCCTATACCCCAAAACTTAAACTCCAAACCCTAAATCCTTAATCCCCAAACCCTAGACCTAAGCCCAAGACTTAAAACCCCAAACCCTAAAATTTATACCCTAAGGCTTAAGCCCCAAACCCTATGCCCCAAGACTTAAACCGCCAAACCCTAAACCTTATACCCGAAGACCCAAACCCAAAACCCTAAACCCTATACCCCAAGACTCAAACCCCCAAATCCTGAGCCCCATACCCCAAGACTTAAACCCCAAACCCTAAACCCTCCTACTGCAAGACTTGAACCCCAAACCCTAGACCTGCCGATCCTCCCAGGGATGCGGGAGACCTGGCCTGCAGCAGAACAACGATTGCCAGGAACAGCCAAATACAACACCTGAGTTGGTGGTTTAGGATTTAGGGTTTATATAGGGTTTATATAGGGTTTAGGGTTTAGGGTCTAGAGTTTGGGTTTAGGGTCTACGTAGGGTGTAGGGTTTAGGGATTTAGGGTAAAGGGGTTGGGGTTCAGGGTGTGATGCTTTAGGTTTAGGGTTTGCAGTTTACGGTGCAGGGTTTACGTTGTAGGGGTTACGGTGTAGAGTGTGGGGTAGATGGGGCTATATACTTTTGGACAGACGGTAGGAATTGGAAAAAGAAGCCACAATGCTATGTGGGGATATAGGGGTTAGGGTTTACAGTCGTCTGGTGGCTGAGCCAAGTCAAGTAATGCCCTCCTTAAAAAATATCTATGCCAAGAAGAGGACATCATCTTATTGTCTATTTGTGAAATAATCCCCCAAGACTATTACTCGCAAGAGTGTGCTGTCACTGCTTTGTGAAAAACTGATGCCCCTTAAAGGGGAATATCTTCGTGTAGCATCCACACGTCATTGCTTGAATCTTAAACCCTAAACCAAGGGGCATTCGTCCACTGAGACCTCCCCCTCGGGCCGCTTGCTGCTGGCTCCCATGCCCAGCACCAGCGGTTCCTGCAAACTGCTTGGCTTAGGGTTTAGGGTTGGTACACGGTTTCTGCGTTTAGGTGGGCAAGGGGGCCCCAGTAAGTAGATTGATACTGCGCAGGCGGCTATGATAGCTTCTAGGAGTTAGAAGCATACTCACTAAGGCCCCCTGACCCCAAAATTGCTGTCCATGATTACGAGGAGTGATATGAGGACAACGTAAGTTCTGTATGAATGTTTGCTGTGTTGGAAGGGCATGTAAAATGGTTTAGCAGTTGGCCAGCTCCCAGCACCCATCCCCTGGCAGCAAATCTTCCAGGTGGAATGTGGAAGCCACCGTATTCAGGTGTCTCAAACACATCCCTATACATCGCTCAAGAAGGAATCCTGGCATTCGCAGGTATCCCTCAAGATACAGGTACGTGGTTAAAAAAAAAGCTCAAACAATCTGAGCATTTGCAAAGATAATGGCCACCCTGACCCGGTCACCTCCGAGAAAGGACACCTAAAACTTGGAATCCCTCATGTGAGCTATAGTCTAGGGGAAGCTTAATAAGCCCTATCATGCTCTCCTATATAATTCCCTGTATATCTCCCTTTAAAGAGTGTAGACTACAGCTCATATTAAGCACAGTCAGTAATCCGAGAAGGAAGCTGCTCCAAGAATGCCTCATCCATCAACTCCCTGTGAAAGTCAGCTCATACATGGCAATCTATGGACCTTCCAAAGCCCCAAACGGCCCTAAACCCCAACTGCTAAATTCTTCTTCCTTTAACTAGACCCTAAACCCTCCAGTCTTATCTTGGTCTTGACTTCTGGTCTTGCACCCTGGCCTGCTGAAAGTCTTGCACAATTTCACCTTGTTGGTTCTATAGGGTATTCAATGTTAGTCAAGGTACCCTCTAGGAATGTCAGGAGTTTTCCGGGCATACCTGACAATACAATGAGAACCACTTTTTTTAGAAATGCCTGATCATGGTACCAATCTG